ACCTACCACTACCTGCTTCATGCTACGGAGAGGAAAAGGACTCTTCTTCTTCTATGTGCCGTGTACTTACAAGACGATGGCGATTATGACACTTCACATTTTCCTATCTTTTGTAGCTCTTAATAACTTTTCTTTCTGCCATCGCTTCCAAACACTGCTCCACTATCCATTCCTTCAAGCTCGCCATGTAAGTTGTACGTAGTTTTTCTATGGTCCTTTCATCTTCAATTTGTCCTGTGAGTATCACATTTTCTAAGCCCTCTTTCTTCATTATGTACCCCAGAAATTTCAACTATCTCTTCTTAATGTTAAACTTAAGTGCCCTTTTTATTGCCATTGGCTCCAGAACTTCGTTGTTTTTCACATGTTCCGTCCATCGTATCCTCAGTATCCTTCTGTAGAACCACACTATTACTTAAGGCCCCTTCTTTATCTGTTAGGAGATTGTCCAGCATTCACTGCCATGTAAGAGTACTGATATTACAACAGTTCAGTACACTTTTCTTTGTTTTCTGTTACTTAATAGTTTGCTCAGCTTTTGGAAGGCATATTTCGCTATCCCAGTGCGCTCTCAGATTTTAGTGTCGCATTTTCCATCCTCTGTTAATACGCTTCTCAGATAACTAAATTGTTGTTTGATTTTGCTATCCCTAATCTGTAATTTACATGTTGGGCCGCCCTTTTACTAACAAGCATGCAGTCAGACTTGCAATTCATGTTATTCATTTCTTCTCACTTGCTTTATGCCTTCTATAGGAGTTCTTGTTGTTTTGTAGTTTCCTTTCTATGTGTGCTATCAACGCTCTGTTATCGGCATAATTTATCGTAAGATTGTGAACTCCAATAATTAATCCTGGTAGCGTTTCTAATTCACTTAGAATGGCCTTGCTGTATAGGTTTAAAAATGTTGTCTTACATCCCTTTTTACTTTTGTCTGTTGTTCTCTATGAACACATTTCATATTCGTATGCATGCAGTTTGCTGTCAGTATAGGTCCAGAAAACGGCTATTGCGAAGTAATTCCTTATTTCCAAGAGGCGCTAAAGAGAATCTAGCTTGGCATTCCGGCGATCATCTAGAACAAAAAAAAAAAAAAAAAAAAAAACAACAAAAAAAAACAAAAACCTAAAAAAAAACCCAAAAACAACTCAGTGGATGCATGCACAAAAAACAACAAAATTGCATTTTTGAAGGTTTTGATTATTGAATTTTTAATACTAATTTTCTCACAAAAGAAGACTCGAGAGCCACTCAAGGCAGAGGGTTTCATTTTAAATGTTTATAATTAATAAAGTGAGTGCTATGAATGAAAGAGGAGGTAGTAAGAATTGAAGATGATAAAAATCAGAAGTATAAATAACGATTGACCTTTGACATAAAGATGTCATTAGTGTCCAAGAAAGCATTCACGCGGAAAAAGTGGCGGTTTGGTGGGTGTGGGGAGTGAACACTAAAGCGAACACTAAAAGTGAACACAGAAGGAAGACAAAGACTGTCGACTTTATTTAGAGTTCAGATTTTTATAAATATATAAGGACAAGACTTATACGAGATCATAAAATATCTCAGCGCGTTGCTAGTAATGGTAAATTTAAATGTGGATGTAAGAAGTTTTTACCACAACGGTGACCGCTTGGGAATACAAGGTGCTGTAAGGTTGGCTTTTCGGGTCATGTAATGGATAATATCTCAGAATTGTTAATCGGAAAGCCGCGTTCCAATTCCACTTGGGATCGTTATATTCACATGCGCAAATATACTTGGGAAAGGTATGAATCCATCTCTTCTCCCTAGCTATGGGTTAATTAGTAAGACTTGTATCACCAAATCATTATTATCTCCGCCGCCAAAAGACATCTTACAATCTAAAAATATTTTATGGGTTTATATAACCTGCAAAGTGCTGTTAATCTTTATTCTCTGCAGCAATTAGTAGCATCTTCAGGTCCACTTTCAATGTTTTTTTTTTCTTTTTAGATTTTGTAGCAAACATAAACATAAAAAGAGAAAACGAAGATCACCGCCCTCTGTGGGATCAGGTTGAAATCATAGACAAAAAACAACATTGGAAAATTCGTAAACTTAAGGAATCAGCACATATGCAAGGCCACAAAAATCTCCTGAGCCGACCAAGCATAGTAATAAATACAATATGGGAACCAGTAATAAGGAGTACCAGAGAAAAGCAATAATAACAACGAAAATTGTAGTATGAGCTCTGGTAAAAAACGTGCAATGATAATGGTAAAAATTGCAATATGAGCACTGGTAAAAATGGTTGCTGAAGACATTAGGTTTCTAAGTCTCAGAAATTCATACACAGATGTCCTCAAGAATTCATAGCACAGTGGATAAAGGGGTTAGTTAGATCCAGTGACAGGACCCAAAGAGTGAATTCAATACCCGGTTAAGGTAGTGGAGAACTTGGAGAGGGGATTTAACAGGAGATTACTGATATCCATTAGACATGGCACGTGGAACTAGAACAGCCTACCAGCGAGCGAAATAAAGTGTTCACTTCGACATTCCAACCAGCTGAAGAAGGCCGGAGCGTATAACAGCAGAAACGTTGTGATAAATATGACAACAAAGATGAGGACGATAGTAAATAGTATAAACATAAAGACATCGCATTATTGTAGTTACTTTCCAAGCATAGCTTAGATGTGGCACAAGGCCGAAAGTATGGGGAATCTAGTGAGGATAGAACTCACTTTTCAGTTGTAACTGATCTAGCGAGACAAGCTTGCTAACCATTACACCACGCCAAGATGCCCAGACATCGCATTATTATGTAACAAATCAATCATTCCGATAAAAAAAAACCCCCAAAAAACCCAGGAATCTAATGTTAAATGATTTTTTTTAAAGACCCATGATTAGAATTTATAAAAAGAGATGACTTTTCTAAATATGGAGATATTCATGATGAAAACAGAAAAGAAAAAAAACGATAATGGCAATGGCTAGATTAACCGTTTCCATTCAGGAAACATTAGACATTCATTGACCGTAGAACGTTACTGTCGGTTGAAATTTATAAAATCTTTTCCTTAAAGCAGCTTTTCAGAAGATTATACTTCTCAAGTCCACTGTTACAAATTTACCTAGTACCGATTTCCAAACCTTTTGTTTTGGTGGCATGCAAACTGCTCGGTTATATCATTATAAAGATTAATGACGCCTGTGAAATAAGGATACGTTTATTTTGTAACAAAATTTATTTCAGTATGATTTATATTATAAATATTATTTAAAAAATATAGGTGTCATTATTTCATAGGAATTATTTAATGCAAATATTCATGTTTTTAATGATATAATCAAGCATCATTATTCTCTGCAGCAATTACGAATACCTTTATTCCTTGTCCGCTTTCAATGTTGATCTTTTCTCTTTAGTTTTTGCAACAAATATAAATATAACTAAACACATTATTATCTAAAAAGGACACATTACTATCAAAATGAATATTGGGCTGGAACTTGCTTTATTCTTCATAGTAGATAATTTTAATAGTATTGCGCCGACAATAATATCGCTACGTTGTACAGTTTTTTCATCAATAGGGTAACAAATACAGCCAAAAAAAGAAACCTGATCATAATTTTATTGTTATACCATTATAAGTACTGATTTTATAATTGTATGTTCGAAAGGTTTGATTAAAAATTTTTGAGGTTGTTTCTTTCCAAAGAAAGTTTACATATATATTCAGCGCTGTAGATATATTCTTCATAAATGACTCAAAAAATGAAAATGTTGTTTAAGTAGTTTAGATGCATTGTTGTTCTCTGGTTATCTGAAGCGAAGATTGATTTGTAATTTTTATAAAGAATCATTTTATCCGTGTACAGTAGACCCCGTCTATCGTATTTCAATGCTGAGACCACTGAGCAATGTTGATAAATAAAAAAGCCTGAAGAAAAACCACAACTTACATGCTGATGTTGGCAGGAGCCTGTGTCAATTAAGTGAAGGAAGAAGAAGAAGAAGAAGAAGCATGGGGGAAAAGTTGAAAAACGAGGAGGAACACTTATTAGAGCCAGTTAGACTTCGACTGAAGGAGAAGGAAGAGACGGAAAAGGAGGAAGAAAAGAAGAAGAGGAAAAACCAGGAGAGAAAGAGAAGAAAAAGATCGACTAGACGGAAATGAGAATAGAAAGAAAGAAAGAAAGAAAGAAAGAAGAAGAAGAAGAAGAAGAAGAAGCATGGAGGAAAAGTTGAAAAACGAGGAGGAACACTTATTAGAGCCAGTTAGACTTCGACTGAAGGAGAAGGAAGAGGCGGAAAAGGAAGAAGAAAAGAAGAAGAGGAAAGAAGAAAAACCAGGAGAGAAAGAGAAGAAAAAGATAGACTAGACGGAAATGAGAATAGAAAGAAAGAAAGAAAGAAAGAAAGAAAGAAGAAGAAGAAGAAGAAGAAGAAGAAGAAGAAGAAGAAGGGTAGATATTTTGAGCGACAAGAAGAAAGACTGGAAAAAACAGAAGGAGAAAAAGAAAATATATTCTAAAAGAAGTAGAAAAAGTTAAAAAAAAAAGAGAAGGGCAAAGAAGAGGAGAAAAATAAAACAAACAATAATAATAAGGACTAAAAAGAATAAAAACGTAGAAGAAGAAAAAAAGGCTAGTAGTAATAGAAGAAGAAGCAGGTTCATAATAGGCATAGGAAAGTTATACTGTGAAGTAACATGGTGATAGCATTAAAAACGGCAATAAGCCCACCAAAAACTAGTAGGGCGTCGATGCGGTTAGCTAAAACGTCCTCTGCATTTAAAAATATGAACCCGGAGCCAAATACGCGTTCCATAGCAGGAAAGAGCGAAAATGGTGAAAGTATCTCAGGCAAATGAGCAGGTCCTTAAACGCTAAACGGTTCTATTTTATCCTCTCTTTCTTTCTAGTACTTATAAACATCAACAAATTGGCACAATAGGCACCACGACTGCTCCAAAGAAAATCATGACAACTCCCTCTTTCTTTCCCTTTATTTCTTGCCGATGCAAAACTTTCTTTTTTTCTTTAAACTTCTCTTTTTCTTTTTACTTTTTTCTTTAAACTTTTTCTTTTCTTTTTTCTTCTTTAATTTTCTCCTTTTTTTTTCTTTCCTATATTCCTTTAATCTTTTCTTTTTTCTCTTTTTAATCTTTTCCTTTTCGCTTTTATTTAATCTTCTCTTTTATATTTTCACTATTTTCTTCCTTTTTTTATTTTCTTTAAACTTTTCTTTTCTCTTTTCCTTTATTCTTTTCCAATTTTCTCTTGCTTTAATCTTTTACTCTTTTCTCTTTTCGTTACGATTCTCCTTTTTTTCTCTTCTCCTTTAATCTTCTTCTACTTTAATCTTTTTCATCTGAACTCAATATCTATTTTTAAATCGTCAAAATTTTATTTATTTTCGTCCTTTCAATTTTTTTTTTATTCTTTATCCACGAACGTTTTTTACATTTATTTTTATCCATTTTAGAAGAGAAAAGAAAAATGCTAGTTTTCTTTTTTAATTCGTTCTTTTGCTTTTCTTTCTTTTTCAATTGTTTTATGTTATTCCCAGTTTTCTTCATTGTCTTGTTACTTTTTCTATCTGCTTTTATTTGTTTTCCGTTTGCCGTCCTTTCTCCTTATCTTTTTTACTTGTTAAACGACCGTCTCCTTTTATTTCTTTGTCTTTCACGGCTTCTTTTCCTTTTTCTTTCTTAGAACATTTCTCTTTCTTTTTTCTTTCTTTCTTTCTTTCTTTCTTTCTTTCTTTCTTTCTTTCTTTCTTTATCATTATTTTTATCCTTTTTATTTTAAATATTTCTTCCTTTATTTATTCTTTTCAGTTTTCGTCGTGTTTTTATCATATTTTCAATATCTTATTCTTTCCTTTTACACTTTTCTCTCTCTTACTATCTATCTATGCACGTTTTTCTCTCTTCCTATCTATCTATCTATCTATCTATCTATCTATCTATCTATCTATCTATCTATCTTAATTTTATACTCTCCTTTCTCTCTCTACCACTTTCTCTCTATTCTCTATCTTATATATATATATATATATATATATATATATATATATATATATATATATATATACCTTTCTGTTAAACACTTTTTCCCATTCTTTTCCTATTTCCCATTAGTCTTTTTGCGAGATGCACGAAGTCCACCAGAAGCAAGTTTTGAGGGCAGTCATCCATCTCCAATTGATTCCCCGTGGAGTCAGCACCATTAAACGATGCTACTTTTTGGAGAGTAGCCAACGGCCCAGACACTACTGTGCACCACCAACCAATGCAATACACACTCCACTGTAAGTATGCATGTGGGTGGGTGCGTGCATTAGTGTGCATATTTGTTTCTTTTGTGTGTAAGTGTAAATGCTGAACAGACTTCTATCACAGGTGGATAAAATCATTGCAGGTATTAGTGAGATTGTTTGATCCGATACAGGCATATATGAGCTATCATAATATACCACACACACACACACACACACACACTATATATATATATATATATATATATATATATATATATATATATATATATTAACGGAACATTTGCAGAAGCATTATGAAATAATATAATTAATTAGGAAAGGGAGCATTATTGTGAAATTAATTCTTAAATTGCCGTTCGGTGCTCCACACTTGTAGTCCTATGCCAGACTAAGAAAAACTTAATAAATTAAAGACATTTACCAAAACCCAATGAATAGCAAGCTGGTTTCGTAATATTATTCATTAAAATAGTGATTTATATCATGATCAATTGCAATACAATTATAGTTGTGCGCGAAACTAAACTTGGTTAATAATTATATAATGAGGAATTTAGGGGTAGATGGAAAGAAAAAAAGACGAGAAGGGTGTGGGAGAGAGAGAGAGAGAGAGAGAGAGAGAGAGAGACTGCTATTACTACTACTATTACTATATTGTTTAATTCCATGTTCTTGTTCTTTCTGGATGTAGGCGATGATGGCTCTCCACAGATTCATTTTCTGTGAATTGCCTTGTTGGAGAAGATAGTCGAGGGTTTTCCTCGTGTTTTATCTACAGTTTTAATTTCGGAGTTAACCTTCTCTAGACTTGATAGAGAACTACGTCTTACTTTGTTATTTAATCCATAGCTGGTGGGAAGGTAGAAGGCATAGATTCAAAAGGCAACGTAACAGACTCGACCACAATTTGAACTCATCTCGTCCAATTCACTTTTCCCGAAAATAACTGTTATGTTACCGACACACGCGTTTTCTTCTTCTTCTTCCTCTTCTTCTTCTTCTTCTTCTTCTTCTTCTTCTTCTTCTTCTACTACTACTACTACTACTAATAATAATAATAGTAATAACAAGAAGACGAAGCAGAAGAAAAGTTGGAAATCCCATAATATTGAGATGAGTGCTGGGGTATCGACGAGACATTTTGTTACTCGATTTCCTGTGAAATTCTCCAGATAATTCTGATGTGAATAGTCAAAGAGTACATCCACTAAAGAAATAATAAAGAAAGCTCCCTCAGTCCAAAGAGTGAAATTGAAAGAGAGTGAAAAGTTTTGCAAGTTTGCCAGCGGAATAAGGAAATTGTACTCATCATTATTGGCGCACTTGGGTCAATTTTGAAAAACTTTGCAAGCAGAGTGGGGAAATTGCAAATCCAAGGAAGGATTGAATAGAAAAGATATGTGATGTGTTTCATTCCGAACCCGTTAGTTAAATGTTTAAGAATATAGAAAGGAAGGTTATCTTCTGAATTCTGGAAAAAATGAACGCTTCATTTTATCTCTCCAGCAAGTGCCTGATTCCGCTATTCTGCTTTTTCTTTATAAGAGTCATATTGGACCAAATATGGAATATTGCTGCCATAGCTGATAAGGAATTTTCAATCTTCATTTTCTAGCCTTGAAAGAGTTCAAAATCGTTTAAGTGGGCTTGTAGGAGAAGACTTATCTTCCATTCTACTCCCTCTTTCCACGCATGCATAAGGTTGGAAGCCTATCGCTACTTTATCGCTACATCCATGACAGATAATCAGATGTCCACCTGTTCGGATCTTCATAGCTAGGACACATCATTTCACTTCCCCGGAGTCGGATCATTCTCATTTAATCTGTGTTCTAACGGTAAAAAGAAAGATCTTTGTAAAGCAGACTCCCACGTTGGTGGTTCTCTGAAGACTATAATCTATCCAAGTTGAGCATCAGCCGTTATATATTGTATTTATCACTTCCCTTCCTACCACCTCTACATTAATTCGTATTACAGGTTACGGTCAGATCACGTTGAAACACCAATTTCTCTACGATCACCGAAGTTAAGCAACGTCGATCTTAGTCAGTACCTAAATGGGTGACCACTTGGGAATGCCGTAAGCTTGCGGGTGGTGTAATGGATAATAGCTCGGAAATGTTAACCCAGAGAGTCGAGTTCCAATTCCAGTTGGGTTAGACATATTTACCTACGCGCAAATACCCTTGGGAGTTGTATAAATCTATCTCTTCTCCCCCAGCTATGGGTTAACTATTAAAACTTGTTTCACTAAATCATTATTATCTAAAAAAATATCTTACAATTTAAAAATGTTTTCTGGCTTTAAATAACCTGCAAAGAATTGATAAACCGTAAAAAAACGAATCAATTAATCATTTCATTCGTATCACACACCTCATTCATCATTATTATTTTAACAGCAACCGTCTACATTGAGCTTTATATTGCGTGGATTCTAGTATTAAAAAAAAAAAAAAATAAAATAAAACGAATCTTTCTACCATGAGAAATCTGTATTCGAGATTTTAGGTTTTAACTGAGCTTGAACCTCAAACATTGGCACCGGTGGGAAATACTTATAATTAATTCTTAATAGAAAAAGGAAATAACTGATAAATATTTACTAGAATGGAGTCATATTAATATCATTTAGATTTGCAAATAAAATGTTCCTTTATATATCATTGACTACAATGTGGAAATGTGTTGTATAAGAGTAAGTATCGTTGGCGACACTGTGGTTTGAAACTAGATCGCCAGTAACACGGGCGATTCCATTATTAAGTAGATAACGTGATCATAAAGGAAGTGAATAAGCAGGACGTAGCGTGATGACTATACAATCACTATTCACTCTATTATCTATCCACTATTGCTATAAGTTCACTCTCTTTACTAATATACAGATTACAATTCACTTCTGATCATTAAACTATTTGGCAATTATTACTTGAACAAGTATTACTAGTGCGGTTATTATTGGAAGGCGTTACAACTACTACGGCGTCTACGAAGTCATGAATATAACTAGTATTTTTGGAAGTGATATAGCATCACAAAAAAAATGTATTGTGATAATTTTAGTGCAAGAGAAATCAGAACATCCAAAAAAAAACATCACAACAAAAAAATGTATTGTGATAATTTTTTTTGAGAAATCAGAACATCACAAAAAAAGAGTGATAATCAGAACATCAGAAAAAAAAAAATGTATTGATAATTTTTGTGCAAGAGAAATCAGAACATCACAAAAAAATGTATGTGTGATAATTTTTGCAAGCAAAAGAAATCACAAAAAAAATGTATTGTGATAATTTTGTGCAAGAGAAAAAACAAAAAAAAATGTATTGTGATAATTTTTGTGCAAGAACATCACAAAAAAAAATGAACATCAAGAGAAACAGAACATCACAAAAAAAAATAATTTTTGTGCAAGAGAAATCAGAACATCACAAAAAAATGTATTGTGATAATTTTTGTGCAAGAGAAATCAGAACATCACAAAAAAATGTATTGTGATAATTTTTGTGCAAGAGAAATCAGAACATCACAAAAAAATGAGAATTTTTGCAAGAGAAATCAGAACATCACAAAAAAAATGTATTGTGATAATTTTTTAAAAGAGAAAGAGAACATCACAAAAAATGTATTGTGATAATTTTTGTGCAAGAGAAATCAGAACATCACAAAAAAAATGTATTGTGATAATTTTTGTGCAAGAGAAATCAGAACATCACAAAAAAAATGTATTGTGATAATTTTAGTGCAAGAGAAATCAGAACATCACAAAAAAATGTATTGTGATAATTTTTGTGCAAGAGAAATCAGTTATATTTCAATTAAATTTTTTCTTGTTTCGCAATTCTAGTCTGTGGAAATCTCTTCCGATTTTTTGCTTCCTTGCCAACTACAATCTTCAAAGATTTAAATGAACGTCAATCGCCGTCTTCTGTCTTCCTGAACACTGTTTCTTTATTGTTCTTTTCTTTACCGCTCCCTATGAAAGTCTTCTCATTCTCTTTCACTCCCTTTAACATCCTGCGTCCTGAAGGCAATATCGCCTTGCTTGGGGTGAAATGATTAAAAGAAATGAAAAAAAGAAACTATATCATACAATAAATAATAATTTGCATGCCTTTCGTATAGCGCTGATTACTGTTCGTAAGTTCGATCCTGGCTGAACGCAACAGGATGTTTTTTTATCAAGTAAGGACGTAGGTGATCATTTCTCTCCACATATCCCTTTTCATTTTTGTTTCTGTATTACTGCGGCTTTTGGGGAGGGATAGTGGAGTTGTTTTCCGTTACATCCTCCACGGTTTAGAATCCAGAGTTTTCCATCTCGTAGACTAATTACCCCTCAAGGCTAAATAGTTTAGTCTACTCTGCTGTTTAACCCATAACTAGAGGGAGAAGTGATAGATTCATGCCTTTCATTAGTGCATTTGTGCGAAAGCAAAAGCTGCAGGCTAGGCTAGGAATTGAACTTTGCTCACCAATTTACTCTACTCGAATATTCCCGTATCTTAAAAAGCCAATTTCACTGTGTAAAAGTATTGCTAAGTGTAAATATTGTTTTGGTCACTTAGTTCTAAAAAAAAAAAAAAAAAAAAAAAAATTCTAATTTCAAATAATTTCCTAATTAAATTTTGAGACATAAAAATTATTCGTGACTCATTCCATTCTTATTAAACAAATAAATAAATTAGATTAAAAAGCAAGACAACCGAACTAAACACACACAAACGAGTAAAAAAAAAAAGAAAGAAGTTTTTAAGTGACCACACTTTTTCTTATTTTTCATTAAGTTGTTAATTTAACTAACGATACTGTCCCTTATATGGCTTTGAAATAAAAAAAAAATATTCGTTCGTTAGAATTTTGTGAATTGGTCTTTTAAAACTGTAGCACTTCGTGTTTTATGGCGCATTAAGATTTCTTCACAGCTAAGGCAGCTCTTCATGTCTTAACTTCATCGTATTGCAATAAGTTAACGTTCTGAAAATCCTGCAAAAAATAAAAACAAATCTTGCCTATTTGACATTAGCTTAAAATAACACACACACATGCGCGTGCGCGCACACACACACACACATATATATATATATATATGAAGAAAAATATATACGGAAAAAACAAACAAAAATCCTTATATACAATTTATACTGTTTTAATGTTAATATGTCAACGTCGGACGTTTCGGTCTAATAAACCATCTTCAGGACATATTCATAAATTATAACATTATCAATACAACATGACAAAGACGATGTACATAAGAACAAGACTATTCAAACAAATAACTGAAAGTTTTATAAGATCAGCGCCCCGTTTAAAACATGGTCACGTTGTCGTCACGTGGGCGACGCTGTGAAAACGTATTCCTAAAATTTGAGTATTTTGAATGAAAAATGAAAAGAATTCTATTTTGACACTTATCTGGCCATAGTGTCATTAGACCACACATTCAGTTAGTTAAGTGCCACGCGTAATACATGCTTGGCCGATCATGTACCTTTCGATACATGACTGACGGGTCAAAAGATTTTTCCCGCAATATGTTGTCATTTCTTTCTACGGTAGATTGGTTGCCATCAAGGACTAAAGAACCTAGTCTGTCCTGCTATTCAATCCATAGCTGGGGGTAGATGAGATGGAGTTATACCTTTCCCAAGGTTACTTGTGCGTAAGTGAATATAACGAACTCCAGTGGGATTCGAACTCGGCTCTCATTCCGAGAATTGGGGAGGTATACACTAAGTTTGGCTTCAGTGTAAAAGAGAAGTGGTATGAACATCAGCTAGAGGCAGTGATAGAAAATGACATTCACAGTTTATTATGGGATTTATTTGTCCGGAGAGTTATATTATTGAAGTAAAAAGGCCTGACCTTATTGCTATAAATAAGGAGAATAGAAAGTGTTAAATTATTGACTATTCTGTTACATATGGTACAAGAGCGGACTCCAAATGAATTGAAAAGATAGACAAATAACGGGATCTTACTAGAGAGCTGAAGAAGCAACGAAACATGAATGTAGAACTAATTCCTCGAATAAAAAGTGTGCTTGGAACACCACCCAGAAAAATATAATAAATATATAATTATGGTAATGATTATCGTTTGCGCATTGACAACAAAATAATACAAAACAAATCAAAGTAAGAATGAAAGATGCTAAAAATATATAAACGCCATTTGAAATAAATTTCAACGCTCTTTAAAAATAAACGTCATTTAAAATAAATAAACGCCATTTAAAAAAACGAAAGTGTGTAATTTAAAACAAAAAGGCAAATTAAACATAAAATGGTTTCTTTTAATTGCAACCAAACAACTTGTTGATTACAATAAAACAATATTAGAATTCCAATGGACCAGAGATTTTTTTTTAATAGAAGAGTATTGCTTTTTTTTTCTACTCCACACAGAATTTATGTAATTACCATGTATGGAAGATGATCACTTACAGGAATAATTTCTGACTATTTACAAAAACTGACTAGTTGCAAAAATGGTTTCTAAGTTTTTATCTGTATTTCATTTACTAATAAAGAAAAGAAATTGAATGCCAAAAATGTATTTGAAGCACTGACATATTGAAAATAAAATTATAATTTGTATATTTTTTTCTGTAAGTGATTGTTTCCATATTGACATTTCTCAGTTGTAATCGAAATGGAGTAACAAGCTTGTAATAAAGGAATATTAATAAAAAATATCACAAAGGTAAATCTAATTATATTACCGCACACAAACGTAAATCCACAGAGATTAACGCAATATCTATCTATCTATCTATCTATCTATCTATCTATCTATCTATCTATCTATCTATCCTAATTATATAATAATTATAATAATAATTATAATAATAATTATAGTAATTATACTAACGTTTGTGTAACAAGTCGAATGGACGTGAAACCTGATTCACCAATGAAAATCAAACACAAATGTGAACATACCAGTATTACTTTTTTTCTCCATATCTCATTCTCTGATGAAGCTTTAATAAAAGTGAAACATGTTTGTTTGATAAATGTTTCCTATTTGTTCTTTATCGTATCATTCTGTCGGATTCCGATCCATATTTGA